GGCCGACGTGGTCGGGTTCCTGGCTCCGCCTCTGGTCCGATGGTGTTCTTATTAGCATGCCTTCGGCGCGGCGCCGCTGCCACTGGCGCACAGACGCTCCTGGCCTGTACTGGAATGCAGTCTCCCAGCTAGCGGTACGTTGGGCTCTTTGCCACGCGCGCAGCGTTGCAGTCTCCAGCGGCGGCGCGCGGCGTTATGGATCTTTTTGCTTGTTTTATAAGACAGTTTCGGCTTCTGCACCTCGCTGCAGTCTCTGTTCAAAGCCTGGCTGTTTGGAATCCTTTTACAGCATTCACACCGCTGGCAAATCAGCATGCTGGGGTCACAGCTGGTTGGAAATTCCACTAAAGTTTACCACCAGCTAACCTAATCCAGACTCCGTGAATCAGATCCCATTCTTCTATACCACAATACCACAATACCACTCGGCGGCGCATATCACACCAGCGGGGCCCCACCCTCTCGCGTCCCGTGCTCTGACGTCCCGGTCTCAGGTCCCGTGCTCTGACGTCCCGGCGTCAGGTCCCGTGCTCTGACGTCCCGGTCTCAGGTCCCGTGCTCTGACGTCCCGGTATCGGGTCCCGTGCTCTGACGTCCCGGTGTCAGGTCCCGTGCTCTGACGTCCCGGTGTCAGGTCCCGTGCTCTGACGTCCCGGTCTCAGGTCCCGTGCTCTGACCACCCCTCTCTGGTTGAACTCCAAGAGCCGTGGCTCGCTCTTTATGGAGAGCGGCCTCCCGGCGCGGCCTGGCAGCCATCAATTACACCCGGTCCGGACGTGTCCGCCTCTCAGCCTCTCTCGGCGACGTTTCAGCCTCTCCAGGGCGCCGGCCGATCGCGGCCGATACCATCGCGGCGCACCGATCTTCATCTGGGATGCAGCGCGGTCGTTTTCATCTCTAATGCAGCCTGCCGCCGGCGGCCGGACGCTCGGCTGGGATGGGTCGCGCGATAGGATCGCGCTGTCGTCGGCCGCCGGTGGAGACGCGCCCCACTTACACCCCAGCGAGCGGACACCGGGCGGTCACGGCGGGCTACCGGACGCCTGGGTCGCACGCTCACACTAGGTCAACGCATCGCGTGGGTATGCACAAGCATACTGTAATCTGTAGGTGGTTGGAGACTAAATAAGCTCTGCGCTGCACGCTGCCGCGGCTACTAGCGCCTTGTTTTCTCCAAACACTGTCGATTTGGATGATGAGTCTCACTGAAGGCGTGCGCCAGTTTTGGGCCCTCTCCACGGGACGGCGTCGCCGTGTCCCGTGGACGGTGTCGCCGTGTCCCGTCTGCGGCCGCCGTGTCCCGTCTGCGGCTGCCGGTGCACTGGTGAGCAGGGCCGGTCCGTACCGGAGGACGCCTGGCCCGACGTGGGACAGGCCTCTGACGCTGGGCCTGAGGCGGACACCGCCCGCCCCTCCGGCGGCGGGCGTCGGCCCCCAGTGACTGCCGAGACGGCGGCGCCAGGGCTCGGTGGCCACCGGTGACGGGCGGCGCTGCGCGGGCCTGGCCCGGCGGCGGCCGTCACGGCCCGCTGCCCGGCGCCAGATGGCCGTCACGCTGTCCGTCTCGTCACCCGCCGGTACGGAGGCGGACCGCTGGTCCCGGTCCGGACCACTGGTCCCGGTCCGACCGCGTCGGCCTCTGACTAGGCAGCCGGGCTGAGCAGGCCAACCGAAAAGCCCGGCGGTACGGCTTTGCTCCGGACTCATCTTTATGGTGTGGTGGGGGAGGTTGTCAGATGTTGTCAAACGTCAGATGGCTGTTCGGTAATGTTTGATCTGATCTGGCAGCTGATAAGCTACGTTCCCGCCCGTTGAATCTGACGGACGGGAACCTACGCATAGCATTAACTTAGCCCGCATAGGATTTGTCCGTTGAATCTGACGACTTTGCATTAATACCCTGCTCGTCTCCCAGCCGATCTTCTTTGCATATAGATTTACGTTAGTCTACATCTGTTTCGCCAACTCTCGCTTTACATGTCCCAGATGGACTGCATTTCCAACAGCATGGCCTGAATATTCCAAATTGTGTTCATGAGACACCGTTCTACAAACGTTTTTCGTCCATGAGCACCGGCACCGCAGATGTCGCCTGGCTCCTCGCCGGGCGTCTCCGACGGTGGCGCCCGGCTGCTCCGCCGGTGGCGCCGCCCGTCAGGACCGCGAGGCACCGCAGCACCCCATTGTCAGAGGCTTATCTCTTCATCGCCGGGGACGCTCCTGTGACGCCGCGGCCGATAGGGGCTGCCATCGCCACGCGGGGCCCGTGACCTCCAGCCAGTCCTGAGCAGCGGTGGGAGCGCGTAGCGGCGGCCAGGGGCCGATCGGCGCGCGGCGGCAGGCGGCCGATGACCAGCGCCGGCCGAGGTCTAATCAGCGGGGCGGGCGGCTCAGCACCGGCCCACGGCCCGGTAATGGACGATGGGCGGAGCGCTGGGGGAGCGCCGATAGAGTCCAGCGCCCGTCTCACCGAGGCGGGAAATGCTCTTAAGATTCCGTTCACGTGGACGCTGGGTGTTCGGAGCTTTGGACTGCCGGACGGCGCGCTGGCGGCCACACCAGTGACACGCGCCGACCGATCATTTCAGCTGCGCTGGCGTTCATATCGTGTGAGCTGTTTTGCGACCCCTCCGGTGGATCCAGTCCTTGCTGATGCGGCTGTACGGAGCACGGGCGGGCACCGGGTGTCAGGCGTCAGTGCGTACCGCCCCGGGCTGTGCCGACCCTCTCCGCATTCCCAACTGGGCCGGCTGGCCTCTGCTGTTTGCACCCTGCTACCGGCGCCGCCACCAACGCCGCCGGCTGGTGCGCTCATTCCTCCCTCCGCCTGGGATTATCGTCCCTCGCTCCGTCTACCCGGCGGCCAAACACGGGCCCGTCCCCCCGAGCCTGGCCAGAGGCCGCTGACGGTGGCCCCCCGCCGCCGCACGGCACGCCATCAGACACCGAATGCGCCGGCCCGTCTCATAAAACAACGACGTCGGGCCTGCGCCACGCACACACAGACATTTACGCGCTGTGTCTTGGCATGTCAAGTGGTCATGTTTACTCCTGAAGCACTTCGGTTACAGACAGGCACTGTCATTTATTCTTCATATCAGCTACTGCGCGTGAACTACGGCTTATATCAACGCCTTATGTAAACTCGGATGTGCGGCTTGCAGCTATCGCGTTATTATCGCATTACTACATCATTATATACATCGCATTATTATTTTCTACCGAAAACGTCACCCGGGCGCCAGATAAGCGCAGCTTCCCATGTCAGCTTCCCATGTCCCGGCAAACTAACGGTGTCAAGCACTGTCATCCGGCGGTGTGGGCGGCGCCCTCCTGTCGGGCGGCGGCACCTCCGCGTGTCAACACTGGGCGCCTCCAACTACGTCCGACGCCAGGGGCACTGCGGTGGCCAGCCAGCTGTGCTCCCCGGCTGCCCGTGAGACTTCCTGCCTCGCTGGAGCGCCGCCCGTCGGCGGACAATGACTCTTGGTGGCGCCATCGGCGGCGGCGTCTCTCACGGGCTCCGGGCAGCGCTGGCTCGTGGAGCGCCTCAGGCCGCTGCAGCCGCCGGCTTTGTTCGATATAGAACACGTGCCGGGTCGAGGTGGAGCTTTAAATTGTTGTGCATTTCGCGGCGTTATCGCAGCGGGTTTGCTGCTCCAGTTGGGACGGTAGATTAGGACGTCTTCCCTAGTGCTCACCCACGCGTGAAGAGCGCACATTGTGTCTGAGCCGGGCCGGACTCTGCCGAACGGGCTCACGCATTCCAGCCGTGTTTGGCCGGCATCGGCAGCGTGTCGATTGTGGGCGGACATGTCTGCAAACCGTGACACAATGGGCGTGCGGCGCGATGTTCAGATACCACTGCATGTTCTCAGCCGTCAGAAGGCGGCACTGCTTGGGCGGAGACGGCTTGGTTTGATTGTATTGTGTTGCGCTGTGGACTTGTCTCTGCTTGTCTGGTCACGCGCTGTCTCGGGCTTATAATGAATGTGATATGCGAGAAGGTTTTCGGGCCACACAACAGGCTCGTATAGTTGGGACTAGGCAAAGGCCACATTATCCAGGTCAATGCGCCATGCTCTAATAAGCTGCTGCCGCTTAACCCATACCGGTGGGTAATCCAAACGGCGCTCTAAAAATTATTTTCATCAAACTGTTAGTATGCATTCCGATGGTAATTCCCTACCTTCAGCAACAATATCTTTGGACAAGGTTCTATGTACACATGGCCGTTTTTTCACTGAAGACGCTAAACGCTATGCATCAATTCGCCACAGTCAAGCGTAATTCGACGTCCCAATTTCCCGTGGGGCTGGGAATAGAACCGTGATTTACGCGAAGGCTGTCAAGTACTGAAACCGGTGAGCCTTTTACTCGCACCGCCCACCTCTACGCGTCGCGAACCCGTGCCGCCCGCCGTCGCTGTGACGAAATTTCCGCCAGTGCACGTCCACATGACATTGTCACAGTTCCGCCCATTCTCGGCTGGCGACTGCTCGTTTCTCCGGCCTCGAGCGCGCCGTTTCCGCCTCTCTTAGGTCACGAGCATGGTGTTTGGTCCCAGCGGAGCGGCGGGGGGGTGGGGAGGGGGAAGCACAGAAGGCAGCAGAGGCCTTCTGTGTGGGGGGACGGCCCGGATCGGCCTGAGATGCCCTCCTGTCCCCCCCCCCCCCTTCACACTCCCTCGTGTGTGCTGTCAGCTGAAGCGGGATGTTTCCGGTGAAACGCAAACAAGTGAACTCGCCACTACCTTGCTAATTTTAAGGGAATTTCTCGTCTCTCGTTTTCGCTTCGTAAAAGGTAAGGATGGTGCTCCGGTGCCTCGCCGCTTCAATCGTGCGGCTCCAGCCGGGGCCGTCCGTGCGGCCCAAACGTGCGGCTCCAGCCGGGGTCGTCCGTGCGGCCCAAACGTGCGGCTCTAGCCGGGGCCGTCCGGGTGTTTTCTGCCGACCGTGCGCGTGACGCCTGTCTGACCGTGACGCCTGTCTTCCCCGCAGGTGACGAGTGTGACGGCCTAAACGTCAACGTCAACTGCGGCCAGCGATCGCGCGTCCGGCGACAGGCCAGCGACAACGACGGACTCTACGAGGTCGAGATCAGCTTCCCGGCGCAGAAGTAAGTCCAGCCGGACATCTTAGACCATATGTTCGTTACACATTACGGGGGCCATTCAAGACGGTGCATTGGATTTTCAAATCGGTACCAATACGTTGGCTTATCGATGTAGTTTTTCAATTCCCCTATCCACACTTCTTTAGGCTATGGCCGCCCTCACGCTTGATTAGGTAAGTGACTTTGCCCCTTCCTGGACCTACCCTTTGGTAACAGTTGACATGAAATCTCATGGTCTTCATCGGCCCTCCCACCACCGCCGCGCCACTTCCTCGCCTTCTCCTCCGCGGCAGTGACGTCATGGGTCGCCCACCTGCGGCCACAGGTCAGGGAGCGTGGGACGGGGCTGGGGTAGCGGTGCCGGCTTGCCGGACGTGCCGCCCGCAGGTCGAACCGCGCTCCGGCCGCCACCGGGTCAGACTCGGCCACCGACGAGCGAGCTTCGGCGTTTTGGGGAATAGCGTAGGCGCGACGAGTCGACCTTGTGGGAGTCCAAACACGAGGGATTTTAAACGGGCTGGGTGTGAGGATTCTGTGGGAAAATAGACGTATATCGTTGCGATTGCTTCAGATAGAGATGCTCCAGCGCGGCTGCGTCCGTCGCGGTGCGTCTCTCTCCCTGCGAGGCCGGGTGTCAAACCGTTCCGTAAATCTAGATTTCCCCCAGGCGGTGGAAACATCGAAAACTGTTAACTAGCGGTTGTCAGGCGCTGAGAGGCACGAGCGCCGGCCAACTGGCGGAACGGCGTGTGATGTAAGAGCACCGCGCAGCAGCGCTAGCACGCCGGCGCTGCGGACGCTCGCGACCGCGTGACGCCTTTTCACCGGGCGGCAGCCTCACGTTACACGAGCCGTGACTGGAGCGGCGGCGCCGCAGGCGGGCCGCTCGGCTGTCGACACCGCCGGACGCGCACCAGCCACCAGCGCCGGCCGGCCCGCAGCAGGCTGCCGCCCCTAACGCGTACCGTGATCGGCCTCAGCACAACGCATACCTTTATTTTTTGGCGATATCAATATTAAGTTAGGTAATATGGCATAAAGTCAATTTCGTAAAGCGAAATCGGGCGCCAATGGCGTGTTCGGTTAAAAAAAAGTTCGGTGAACTAACGGATGCAAAAATGATGGCAGTGCCATTTCGTAAGCGAATTGCCATACATTTTGCATTGGCGATGGACACGCTCTTTTACAGTTGTCTGAGTCTTCCTCCTTGGTGGAAGCAAAGAGAAAGCGTCAGCATGCGGTAGTATTTACCACGAACCAATAACCCTCTTAATATCACAGTGCGACGCCTTGTCCATTCATCAGAGGGCCCACAGTCTGGTGAATAAGCCGCTGTAATCGGCGCGGTACCGGAAACCCAAAGGTAAAGTGCACCACTTACATAATTACACCGGTGGAAAAAATACACAATTCTGCCGTTCGACCAGCGAAATGGACCGGCAGTGGGTCGCGGGTTTTTGGGGGGTTTTCTCTAACCCGGGCGCTTTCACAGCTGATTCAGAGCGACAGCCGCAGTGGCGGGTCTGAGTCAGCAAAACGTCTCGCCTCGCCCCGCCGCCCACGGCCCAGAAACGGGGCGGCGTGCGCGCGCGCGTCGGCGACCCTCTGCGCCGCCCGGCCGCGCGGAGAAATCGACCCGATCGCCGTCCGCCTCAGACGCTCGCGCGCACTTAGAAATGCATGGACATCAATCCCAGAGTCAATCACTGAGTCAGGCAGCGCACAAAACGAAGCGGATGCAAATGGTGGTTATTCGACAAGTTAATTGCGCGACGTGGGACCCCTTTCCGAGAGGGCAAGAGTACGGGGAGCTAATGGCGCGCTGATAGGCCAGAGCAGGCCGGCCTTCAGTGCCTACCAAACAGCGGGTGGGCCGGAGGGCACCAGGTGGGTTGGCAGCTGATGAATAATTCACGTGCGTCGCTGCTGTCTGATCCGGAAATAACACAGGTGGACCCAGACGGGCGGTGTGTTTTGCGTACTCCGGTGGCTGGGGGCGGCGCGGGCGCACAGCCGTTTTACGGCCTATTGTTGCGATTTGTGACAATGACGGCACCACGGAAGAAAACGTATTGTCCTCGACAAGTCGGGCGGATGGCCGCGACTGTCAGCTCGGATGCGTTCAACAATCGATAGTTGCTCATGTGTGCAGGCAGAGGCATGGAACACCTGGTGTCGCAACTTGAGCTAGCGTGCGTGAGGTGAGTGGCTTGCTCCTTCCCCTGGGTGTGTTCGCCTCCAGGGTCGTGATGTGCCCTCTATGCTCCCCGCCCCCCGCAACGCGCCAGAGATCCAGCCGTGGGATCTAGACAGGATGGGGGGGGGGGGGGGATTCTGGTGATTATAAGGGAGTGGGATCGTGCAATAGCTCGGCTTCCAAATATTTTCGACGGTCTCCTAATCCCAGTATCTGTTTTGATCCGACCATGCTAAGCATCCAGTATTTGGCTGAGCACGAACGGTACTTTTCCGGTCTCTAAACAATTCTGATTCTTGGTTAAGGAAAACGAGCACGCGAAGCTGTCTCTCTACGTGCTTTCCTTCTTAGATACATACGTTATTTGAATATTATCCTTGGCCGTACACTACATAAGTGACCTCCTGTCCGAACTCCCAGCGCCGTCCGCCCCTGTGACCCAGCTCCGCCCATCCTTAGGCCGCCTCTGCCCCTCGTGATGGCCACTTCAGTGGCCTCGTCAGCTCCACCTGTCGTCGACGCCGGTCCGCATCTCTCCGGCGCTGGCCAGCGGCTCGGCCGACCTGCCCGGCAGCGCCTCCTCACACGGGCCAGTGACCCCACCCTGACCAATAGCGCAGCGGTCCCGTCCGGACGACCGTCCGAACGGGACGGGGACGGCTGTCCGGACGGGGTGGGGACGACTGTCCGGGCGGGGTGGGGACGGCTGACGGACGGAGTGGGGACGACTGTCCGGACGGGGTGGGGACGGCTGACGGCTGGCTCGGGCGTCGAACGGCTGGGTGGCGGGGGGGGGGGGGGGGCTCCGTGCCGCGATGGGCTCTGCAGTTATGGGTCGTGTATGGTCGTATTATATCGACCAAATTGCCAGAGTTTCTCGGTGCGATCAGCATGCGTTAGTCGTAGTGTTGTACTTGGTAACTTGTCATTGTCACGCTGGTGCGAAACATAGGTCCACCTGGAAGAGTTGGAGAAGCTCGTAGAAGCTCGTAGAAAGTAAATTTCTGGGGAGAAAATAGTCCGAAAACGCTCATACACGTACTGAAAACGTTGCATCCAGGCGTCATAAATTTCCAAATGGCGTCTTCACTTGGTGTTTGGCATCCACCCACTAGCCCCCGGGTACGGTTCCAGCCATGAACAACCACCGGAGGGCGGGAGAATCCATCTGCCACCTACATTTCATCGCGTTTTTCGTGGCCAAACGACAAGCTTAATTCACGAATTGGCTGGCGCCGGCCGTGTGACCACCCCTCAGACCTATTTTTTCGCGCGCGTGCGCACGCCCGATGAGAATGGGGTCGGACGACGCTGGGCTGGCGCGCTGGCAGGGGCGAGCGGCCGCGTGCGGACGGGTTCGTGACGCCCGCCGAGCGACGCCCGTCTCCAATTACAACCGCCGAAACGCATTGTCTCACGTTTCACTTACGATCGCGCGCCGCGACCACAGTGTGTCGATCGCGAATTGGGTTTGACTGGTGGGAGACGGCGGCGCGGGATCCGCCTCCGGCCCCGTCTCAGCGGTGTTTGAGGCGTTCTGTTGACCAGACGCTGACAGCCGAGCAAGCCCACGCAGGCGCCACTGTTGGTTTTAACAGGGCTGTGGCCCGCCGACAGGGTCGTCGTCCACAGCCGCATGTCATGCCTTCAGCCACAGCCACTCCTCCGAAATTTATACGTTCTTCGAGTGCATTGCTATCTTTCGTTGCAATGAATTAGAGGGATAATCATGAAAACTAGCTCGGTTTGCCCACACCTGCAAAATGAGTGATTTGTGATGCAGTCTTCCAATGAAAGGCTTAGGGTGCTTTGCTTCTGCTGAAAAGTTAGAGGCCCTCGTACCTGCAAGCTATTTTTTGCGGATTTCTGGTCATCGCCGGCTTCTTTCCGTCTACTTTTGATCTCTCCGTGATGTCGGCTACACTCCTCTTGGTTCTTCTGCCCTTCACTGTAACGCGCCTACGTGCCGCCACCGCCATCTCTGCGGACGACGCTGGCACATCAGCCTCTGTGATTGTCGGCGCCGTGGACCGCCTGGTCTCGGGCGGCTGTAAATAGCCTCTCTGCACGTCAAGCCGCCTCCCCCAGCTCGAGTTGCCCGTCCGCAGCTCCGACGCCATCTCCACGGCTCTCGCCGTCTCCGCGGCGAGATCTCCCGGCGCCGAGTGCCTGACGGCCGGAGCGGCGCTGCTCGCCGCCGTGTAAGCGGCGTTTGATGGCGCCAGTGGCGCACCTGTGACGCGCTCGGCGGCGTGGCCCACTTGCTTGTGGCGGCCAGCGGTCCGCCGCGACGCCGCCGGCCTGGCCGGACGATCGCCGGACGGGCGGGCAGCCGGGCAGCGCCTCTGCCCGGCGGCGCGCCCCGGCTCGGCCATGGCCGGCCGCATACCGCGGTCCCTCGGAGGCGCTCCCCTTCTCTCGGCTCTGTGGCACGCTCCTCTCCGCTCGGGTGGGGCGCCACTCTCTGGGCCAGTCCGGGACGTGGGCGGCGCCGGGAGCGGTCTGCGAGAGGTGCGCGTCGCCGGACTCGCAGCGGTACGCCGGGCCGTCTGCCCCGCGCCCCGCGCCATCTGGCGGCGAGACACGCCTCTCCAGCGTCAGTCGGCCGTGTCCGAGGCCGGCCCGGTCTGGTCCGGTCGCGAGAGATGCGCCCCCCCCCCCCCCCCTCCCTCTTTCACGCTCGCTCCGGTCTCTCCCCTCCTCCGCAGTATGTACGTCAGGAGCCGCGCTGGTCGGCCGGCCGTCGGAGCCCGGGCCGCATACCTCTCCGCCACCGCTCCCACCGCAGCTTGTTTTTGTCCCGCATCACAAAAACAGGCGCGCTGGAGCCGCCGTCGGCTCGCGGAAACCCTGGCCGGACGGGAGGGCCTGTGTGCCCTGCCGCGGCGGCGGGCGCGGCCACGTACCGGCCGTGAACGTCTGGCCCCGTGGCCGTGCCGAACCGGATCTGCAGCGAGCTCTCGTCTGGCGATGGTGATCCGGGCTGCTCGGCTGTCGACTCTCTCCGGCGCTGTTTCCCTCCCTCTCCCGCCGCGCCCCTCCTCCCTTTGAGACGGTGTTTAATTGAGCACGATTTCGTGGCCTGCTTTGTCTTGCTTCTAAGACACCAGACCGGGCAGAAGGACGCCGGGGCTATTTGAGACTGTAGTGTGTAACATGCATGGTACGGTTTCTTTGCACAGACCATTCAATTTGCATAAAGTTTGGAATAATGCGGGAGCCCCGGAGGCCTGCAGAGTGCCAGCCTTGTCCTAGTTCAGACACCGCGTAGACCACTCGAGGGTTGCTGCAGGAGTAGACAGTACTAGAGACTGTTGGTAATCGTCGAAATTAAAGCCATTGTCGATGGTGCGTGGTATTTTTGCTTACCCACTTACCTGTGTTTCGAAGTTTCTCTCTCGGGACGTGTTTGTCGCAGATCTCCGGCTTGCCTCACCTCTCCTCGCTTCTCATAAGCAGCGCTGGCATGCCTCTTTGGCTGCCTCTGCATACATACATGCATACACCTACGTCGAGTTACATATGCTGCTCAGCTGGTTACCGTGCGTCGCCCAGCGTGCGGCGTCCACACTGAGCGTGTCCGTCGTCCTGTGTCTGACGTGCGCACTCCCGCTCTGTGTCTAACGTGCGCCCTGCCATTCAGTGTCTGACGTGCGCCCTGACGTTCTGTGTCTGACGTGCGCACTCCCGTTCTGTGTCTGACGTGCGCCCTGCCGTTCCAGCGGTCCGGTGACCAACCCGGATACGAACCAAGCCACCGATGTGCAGAAGCTCATCGAGAGGATCATCCTGGAGAAGGTGAGTGCCAAGGGTGGCGAGGCGTGCCCGCACAGGGGCGCGCTCAGGGGCCGAAACGAGGCGAGGTGGTCACTCGTAAGCCTAGCCAGAGCCGAAGGGAAGGGGCGGGGGAGGTGGGCTGCAGGTGATGCCACTTGTTGGTGGAAAAGCGCTACATGTGCCGTATAGCGGCCGACCAGAGACGAAACCGGCATGGGCGTGTCCAGTCACGGCCTATGACGGCTGGGGAACGCAAACGTTGCGGTACAGCACACAACGGTCCGGCAGGACAGCCACAGAAGCACCGTGTGGCTCGCGCTGAACAGGTCACGCGCGCGGGAGCACGCCCATCGGCGGGGATTGTCGCCCTCCGGCGGCGGCGCGGCGCCCGGGCGGGTCCGTGTTCCTTGGATGCCTGGCGAGGTTCTCCTGCTTTGGCCCGAGCCAGCGGCGCTCCGGCGGTTCTCTGCTGTCTCCACCGGTGGCTGGCATTCAGCGTTGTCCGCCGTGCGGAACATAGCGCCATTCAATAACTGTCACTGACACCGCGCTCGGCCGCTCGTGCTCCACAGCCGTATCCGTACTCGCACCCGCACGCACCCCGCGCACGCACCGTCCGCCCGGCTCCCCAGAACAATGGCGCAGGTAATGACACCGGCGCCCGGGGCGGCGTGGTCCGACCGCTGGCGGTTTTTGCTGGCGGGCCGGCGAACATCGCGGCGCGGACGTTGTCCGCCGAACCCCACCGCATGGAAAATGGACGCAGGCGACGAGCGTACGCCATTAGCGCGGATGGACCGACGCAGCCTGGCGGGGCTGGTGATCCGATGACGGAGGCTGGCGGGGCTGGTGATCCGATGACGGAGACTGGCGGGGCTGGTGATCCGATGACGGAGACTGGCGGGGCTGGTGATCCGATGACGGAGACTGGCGGGGCTGGTGATCCGATGACGGAGACTGGCGGGGCTGGTGATCCGATGACGGAGGCTGGCGGACCTGGCGGACCGGGCGTGGTAGACTGCTGGTGCTGGAGGACTGGTGCCAGTGGTGCTGGAGTTCTCTGCTGGCCGGCTAGCTGGGTCGGACGGCATTGTACGCTGTGCCCAGTTAAATGCTGTTTTCACATTGAAATGTGACATCTCCCGGACGAAACGAGCTCGGCGACCTCCACGCAGGAAAGAATTCAGCGCGGTAATAAGTCCGCTCACGCGGTGGGATGATCCGCACCGTGGAAAGCCGTGCTGGATTGGGCGCGTCGGGACCGCCTTAACCCTAGTTTGCATGTCAATTTTGTTTTGGCGGGCGTGCGTCCCGTGTTGCCGTTCCGGTCAGATTAGCTGCTGTAGCCTCGACCGCATCTGCTGCTGAATTGTGCGACCTTGCTCCTCATTCACCAGAGCTGTCAGAGAGGTCACGGCAATCACGCTCATTGCTTAGCTGATGTGGGCACATGATTGTTGTGCTTATGCAATCATGCCCACGTGGCGGTCATCGTAATAGCCCGCAATCGCGCCCCTTTATCGGCAGAGATGATCTGTCAGCACTGTGGAGCGCTGCAAGCAGCCCAAGGGCGTCTATTCGTAACAGAACAAGTGCACACCATCCTTAAAATGTGAGGCACTCACTGCTGTTTGGTCCAAGTCTCCAACGCGCTGCCGACAGCACCGGCGTCCTCCGTCGGGCCAGCAGAATGCGGTCTGATCCGCGGTCGGCATTCTAGCGCCGGGCTTTGTCTCGCTGAGAGGTCGCTGGCGTGTTTTGATCACGTGCTGGAGCGTCAGTCCGCGGCCAATCCGATCAAAGTGAGGCCGCTCAGTAACCTTGCACACCGCCTCGACGACGCGTGGGCCAGTGGAGGAACCACAAACCGGTTTTCTAGTGCGTTTTTACGTGTTTGTTAGTACAGAAAGCGAAGTGCCAACGAATTTAGCCCTGCACAGCGCATGTTGCGGTTACACTGCTGCTGGACGGCCTATTTTTAATATGACGGCCCGCGTACGAGGCTGATAACTGCTGCTTCGCCGGCGGGAATGCACGTGTCTTTGTTCACGGACCACCCTGCTGCCTTGGTGATCTCATCGGCAGAGAGCTCACGCCATGCCATCTCCACAACCGGTCTGTCGCTCCTCGGCTTCTGCTTACCGCTTCATATAGAATTGGATCCGATCAAGCCGTGGGAAAGCCTCCGCTCGCTGGAGCTTTATCTGCCGGCGACGGCTTACGATTGGCGATCGCGTGCTCTTCTCTGTTGAGGTCGCACCCCACCGTCTCGGCTTTGTTCGGCTTCATAGAGATGGTCTCCTGGCTCGCTAGGCTCGTATTGTCTCAGGTCTCCCTGATACGGTCGGTGCTGCAGCTGCCAAACCTCGTCCCGTCTTCAGTCCGGTTGGCGCGGCAGGTCCCTCGGCTCCTCAGTCTCGACGGTCTGGTCAGTTCCTTGACCGTCCGCAACTGCGGTCCTCCAGTGCCGGAGACTCGGCCCGGTCCTCTCGTGCCGGAAACTCGGCCCGGTCCTCCAGTGCCGGAGATTCGGCCGGTCCTCCAGTGCCGGAGATTCGGCCGGTCCTCCAGTGCCGGAGATTCGGCCGGTCCTCTCGTGCCGGAGACTCGGCCGGTCCTCTCGTGCCAGCGACTCGGCCGGTCCTCTCGTGCCGGAGACTCGGCCGGTCCTCTCGTGCCAGCGACTCGGTCGGTCCTCTCGTGCCGGAGACTCGGCCGGTCCTCTCGTGCCGGCAACTTGGCCGGCGCTCTCGCCGAGACCTGCTGACGAGAAAGCGACCGGCGGAGGCGGCGGCCGCCCGGCAGCGTCAGTCCCGGCGGCCGACACCGCATTCGCAGGTGCAAGGGCAGGCCCAGCCTGAACCTGACAGATGGGATGAAGAACATCCATGCCGAGTGAGCAAGCAAGCGGGGAGGGCAGGGGGGTTGCACGAATGCGGTCGTCGTGCGGTGTTGGCCGCCACGCGCGGTTGCTCGCTGCTGGTCTGCTCAGCTGCCGGCGCCGTCGTCTCGGTTCCGGCTGCGTGGGAGGGCGGCGCGGCGCGCTCCCAGACCGGTCGTGATCTGCGAGGTGCCGCTGCCGCCGCTGCCGCCGCTGACGGGCCCTGATCTCCCCGGCCGGCGGTCCGGCGGCCGACAGGCTGTCCGATGGAGGCTGGGTGTGGGTGGTGGTTTGCAGTGCTACCTGGCCACGTAGACCGTCAAAACGGAAAAAGCCCTGCATGTCGTGGCTTATGCGAGCATTGTGGTGTTCAACATAGCAGTCGCTTTGTTTAGCGGCTCATGTTTACACCGGCACGCTCGTTCGCGCGTGCCGGTCCGTCAGCTGACAGCGCGCCGTCCGTGACACCCTCTGACAGTGTGTCCCTGACCTCCGGCAGGGAGAGTTTGATGTTCAGTCGCAGCTTCCGAACGTGGTGCCCGACCCGTCCTCGCTCGAGCTGGACTCTGAGTACTTCTGCGAGCAGGGCAAGGTGGTGGTCGGCGACCAGTGCGGTGAGTGACACCCCTCCCCGCTCGCCACGTCTCGGCCTGGCCGAGCGCTGTCTGCTGCTTTCGTCTGAAGTTGCCAGCCGGAGGGGATGTAAAATTGTTTAGCTGTATGGGAAATTCAGAATTGAAAAAGTCATATAACTTATAACGACATAGTTTTTAAGTTTGCACGCAGTGTCCGTGTATGTGTCCCCGACTGTTGGCTGTGGCCTTAACATGCCCAAGCTTGCCGCATCTTGGCCGGACCGTGACGTGACCCCGACCCCCGCCTGACGTGACCCCGACCCCCGCCTGACGTGACCCTGAACATCCTCACCTCCACTCCCCTGACGTCACCACTGACGTGACCCCGACCCCCGCCTGACGTGACCCTGAACATCCCCACCTCCACTCCCCTGACGTCACCACTGACGTGACCCCGACCCCCGACTGACGTGACCCTGAACATCCCCACCTCCACTCCCCTGACGTCACCACTGACGTGACCCCGACCCCCGCCTGACGTGACCCTGAACATCCTCACCTCCACTCCCCTGACGTCACCACTGACGTGACCCCGACCCCCGCCTGACGTGACCCTGAACATCCTCACCTCCACTCCCCTGACGTCACCACTGACGTGACCCCGACCCCCGCCTGACGTGACCCTGAACATCCTCACCTCCACTCCCCTGACGTCACCACTGACGTGACCCTGAACATCCCCACCTCCACTCTCCTGACGTCATCACTGACGTGACCCCGACCCCCGCCTGACGTGACCCTGAACATCCCCATTTCCACTCCCCTGACGTCACCACTGACGTAACTCCGACCCCCGCCTGACGTGACCCCTTTGTCGCCTCAGTTTCCTGCGCGGCCGGCACCTTCTACAACCGGGAGACACGCACGTGCGTCAAGTGCGATGTGGGCACGTACCAGAACGAACAGGGCCAGTCGCGCTGCGAGAAATGCCCAGAGATCGCCGGCAAGCCGGCCGTCACCGCCATCAAGGGCGCGCAGAGCGTCGAGGAGTGCAAGGGTGAGTGGCCCGGGAGTCCCGTGGAAAGCTGCTGACGAAGTTTAATGTGGCTGCTGTGTGGGTAGCTGCTGCTGTGCGGTTTAATGCCCCTCCGGAATATCATGAGTGGCAGTGTTGAAGAGCGCTCGGTTGTTGGGGTGTTGACGAATTGTGGTAGGAAGAGTTTGGATGAAGAGTTTGGATGAAGAGTTTGGATGAAGAGTTTGGATGAAGAGTTTGGATGCGTGCGTCACATAACGTCATGTGCGCACTGTGCTGTCACTCAAAGATGCGATGGCCAGGTGTGTGCTTGATTGTTCAGGCGCTGGTGGTATGGCCTGATCTGACCTTATCTGATCTTATCTGACCTGGACAGAGCGCTGCTCGGCCGGCCGCTACTACGACAGCGTACTGCGCGTGTGCAAGGCATGCGGCTTCGGCAACTATCAGCCGGAAGAGGGCCAGTTCTCGTGCGTGCCCTGCGGCCTCGGCCTGACCACGCGCACCTCTGAGAGCATCACGAAAGAGGTCAGTCACAGATCACGAGCGGGTCACGATCAGGTCACGAGCGGGTCACGAGCGGGGGCTGGTCACGGGTCACGTACGGGATCGGTCACGGGTCATTGGCGGGGTCGCGAGCGGGTCAAAGTGAGGCAGATCTCTGGTGACCGCCGGCGCGGTACAGAGCAGCTGGCCGGCAGGTGAAGGGGCAGCGACGTCTTGGGGCAGCCACTGGCGTGTCGGCATGGAAGACAAAGGACGGACAGAAGAGCGGCGATGAAAGGGTGGGAGAGGTGCGCTTCTGTCGCGTATTGAGAGGCACGGGCCCGCCCAAAGCGGGCCGCTGTGCTTCTTAGACGTCTGAGAGGTGGGCTCCAATTCGCGGTGCCTGCCTGTCATCCTCGATTGGGAAGGTGTCGCTAGCCCTCGGCGTTTCAAGGCTGTGCCGACGGTATTTCCTGTCTGTCCCCGGCCCATCTGGGCGTGGTCCTGGCGGACGGCAGGTGCCGGACCCGACCTTGGTGAGCGTTTCTACCGTGAGAGCTCGACCCCCGCCCGCCGGCTGCTTTCGGCTTAGCTGATGAGCGAGCACGTGTATTCTGCGGGATACTTAACACAACTTCAGCTTGCTACCCAAGCTCCGCCTCCGCCACCAAGAAATGCTACCTAGCTGATTCACAAAAACTGCAGTTGTCATTGTTCCGCCGTGATCAATTTTGTTGTCGCAATAATGATGTTTACTCATAAAACACATCTATTTATCTGTTAGCTGAAATTGTGTGTCCACGTGCTGGAGCATCTGTCTTTTTCTGGAATGACTGGTATGGCTCTGAACATTCAAGAGTAGCTTCCACGTTTCCAAAAATTCTAGCCCGTGCTTTCATTGCGACCAAAGCATTTCCATTTGGTGTCGAATTAATATCTGTTCCGCGGATACCCTGTGGACTAACGTCACCTCTGTCCGACAGGAGTGCAAGGCTGAGTGCGCCAACGGCGAGCAGCTGTCGCTGGACAACACGTGCCAGCCGTGCGCGCGGGGCACGTACCGCACTCGCGGCGTGCAGCCCGCGTGCGTGGCCTGCCCCGAGGGCACCACCACCCTGGGCACCGGCTCGGCGCTGGTCGATGACTGCTCGCTGCCCGTCTGCCAGCCTGGTGAGTGGCGGGGCTGACAGCGGGGCCGGCAGCGGGGTCGGTGGCGGGGCCGGCAGCGGGGTCGGTGGCGGGGCCGGCAGCGGGGTCGGCAGCGGGGAGGCTCTGGTTCGCCGGCCAGTCCGGCCGGAGCCTGGCGTGGGCTGGGGCGGCTGGTAACTGTTTGGTGACCGCTGAACCGTCGGTAAAAGCAGGGCAACCGTCCAGCTGGAGTGGGATGAATGCCTCCGGGGGGGGGGGGGCAGGAACGCTGAGAGAGAGTGAGAGAGAGAGAGAGAGAGAGAGAGAGAGAGAGAGAGAGAGAGAGAGAGAGAGAGAGAGAGAGAGAGAGAGAGAGAGAGAGAGAGAGACCGCAGTTGTCCGTGTACCCCAGTGTGGTGTAGTGCTGCTCCAGCTGCAGCGGGGCTGACTCGGTGGTCGCATACACTGCCTCTGATGTTCCAGATTCCCAGCTACAAAAAGCGTTTAGATTTCTACATGTCCACTGGAGTTCGATCGTTTGCCGCTTGGGACGTTGTGTTGTGGTGGACGCAGTGTTGATCCCGGTGTTGGGCAAAACCGCCCGGGCCCGCCACCTCCACGCCCCGGGTGCTGACCGGCGCTCCTGCTTTGCCAGGCTCCTTCCTGAACACGACCGGCGGTAACCGGTGCATGTCATGCCCGCTGGGCACGTACCAGCCACAGTCGCAGCAGACCTCGTGTATCGAGTGCCGGCCGGACACCACCACCGAACAGGTGAGCCTACGGGCGACCGGCCCGGCCCGGCCCGGTCCGGCCCGTGGGGTGTCTCCCCTCTCGCAAGGAGCGCAGTCGCCGCCGGCGTGAAGACTGCCAGTGGTGGAGCAGCGACTGGTCCGGTCAGGCAGGCCGACTGGTGTACGCTGCACTGCTGGGCTCGTCTGATGCGGCCCAGGCCATTCTCGTAGCTGGCGGCAGTTAAGACGTGTGTTCCGCGTTGTGGGCGGTGGTCGGCCAAGGCGGTACACAACGCTCACTCAATAGAGAGTATGTTCATCATGTACGAACGCATGCAACGTATTTGTCTTGTTGTGGCTTGTTAGAGGCACTGTCTCTGCTGGGGCCAATGTCAAGAATTAACTGCATGGTCTAGCCGTCCCCTTGGTCTAAGGGAATATGCTAGACTTGTTATTCAGCGGCAATGGGTGCAGGTCCCAGAGCGGGCGTAATGTTTGGCCCGATCGAACAGAAAAGGTCAGCTGGCAACTGACGAACAAGGGCCAACCCAGGCCCGGAGCGATCATGGTGCGGTATTGTGCCGCTCGTAAATCCCTCCGCATTCCTGTCTGCTGGCGAAGGGGCGGAAGCAAAATTATCCGTTGAACTGGGCGGCACGACTTGGGTGGTGGGTTCAGGGTGCACGCAACAAGCAATGCTTACCAGGTGCTCTGAACACAAAGCCACGGATGCAAACCATTCGGTATAAATTTGCATTTCGAAACAATACACAAATGTTTATCATGATACCGATAACGCTGATTCCACTAGCGTCATCTTCCAATCACTTTCCAACGTGTGGTTCGCGCGCGTCCGCAGACTGCCGCCACCAGCGCCGACCAGTGCATCAACCCATGCGACGGCGCCGGCGACCAGAAGAAGTGCGACGCCAACGCCATCTGTCTGATCAACACGGAAACGAATGCGTTCAAGTGCGAGTGCAAGCTGGGCTTCAGCGGCAACGGCTTCAACTGCTCGGACCGGTGTGACAACTTCTGCGAGAACTCGGGCGTCTGCGTCAAGGACGAGCGTACCGGCATGCCCAAGTGCAGCTGCATCGGCTCGTTCACCGGTGAGGCTCCGCGCCGGGCACGGAGATGCGCCGACGGCGCAGGCCAGGACTGCGTGCAGATGTCGCTCCGCGGCGATTGGGACAGGTTTACACGTGCGTGTCGGTGAGGTGGGGGCGACTCGCGTTCGTAACAGGGGCGGCACACAAAACTGTCTTTTCATACGAGATCTAGTCCTGCAGAGATGCCGGTGTACGGGACGCCTCGGATTTGCGGTTTCCCCGGCCCCTCCGAGCGTGTTTGGAGCGTCCGAAGCCGCTGCTGGCGGGCATTGAGCGCCGGCGGGCAGCGCATCACAGTCTGACCGGCGGCCCTCTCCGCAGGTGAGCGCTGTGTGGAGAAGTCAAAGTTCGCCTACATCGCCGGCGGTGTGGCCGGCTTCGTCGTCGTAGCCATCATCTGCGTGCTCTTCGTCTGGATGATCTGCGCCCGCTCCAACAAGAAGAAGCAGCCCGACCCCGTGCAGAAGGCCATGACGCTGCCGCCCGACGCGGCCTCCCAGGTACGGGCGTGACGTTATGATGATGACGTCACCCACAGCGCAGTGCCCTTCCGCTGTCCGTGATATTTTCCGGGAGTAGACAGGGCGCCAGGGCACTGTTTGTGCTTCGAAAGCGTTTGGTTGCGATTGGGTAAACATCCGATTTAAATATTTCGGTCTAGTCTGCGTTTAGGGGTTCATTTAAAAGCCAACAGCCCACAGCCATGATACGCACGCGATGTTACTTGAGACTGGCTTCAGTCACCAGAAAACAGCGACCTTAGGTGCAGCGACACTTCATCAGGCTGGCCATGACACCGTTCTGCGATTAGCACACGGGTTCGCCGCCAATCTCACTGGAAAACTCACACCATCTTTTCGTCACCAGGTGAACTTCTACTACGGCGCACCGACACCGTACGCCGAGAGCATCGCGCCGTCGCACCACTCGACGTACGCCCACTACTACGACGAGGAGGATGACGCGTGGGAAATGCCCAACTTCTACAACGAGACCTACATGAGAGGTGCGGAGTGTGCCTGCGGACCGAGCTTCCGCGCCACGGGGAAGGCAGCCGGCAGGGACGTGGGAAGTTGGTGTCCCTCGCCCAACAGAAAATCGCTTGATTTATAATGGAAAGTAGGGTGTCGTCAGCAGTGAGTGGGCGTAAACTCATAGAACCTTGCGGGGAAGACACACTCAGTGAAAGGTTGAGTGTTCCGCAACGTAAACCTGGTAATTCTCTGTTCAAAATACCAGACCAACAACTTTCCTAGCCCGATGTATCATTGGATCCCTCCCCCTCCCCTACCCCCAGCAGTTCAGTATTAGTGGTGTGGTGGGTGGAAGGCATAGACGGAAAAATGCTTGACACTGCGGATGCATAATTTTTAAGGGTGCTGCGTGTTGAACCGAAAAAAGCAGGGTTATGTAGCCCGGCGGACGGGTCTGTAATCAGCTGACAGCTGGCTTATGTAGCTGGGCGGATGGGTCTGCAGTCAGCTGACAGCTGGTTTATGTAGCTGGGCGGATGGGTCTGCAGTCAGCTGACAGCTGGTTTATGTAGCTGGGCGGATGGGTCTGCAGTCAGCTGACAGCTGGTTATGTAGCTGGGCGGATGGGTCTGCAGTCAGCTGACAGCTGGCTTATGTAGCTGGGCGGATGGGTCTGCAGTCAGCTGACAGCTGGTTTATGTAGCTGGGCGGATGGGTCTGCAGTCAGCTGACAGCTGGTTTATGTAGCTGGGCGGACAAGTCTGCAGTCAGCTGACAGCTGGTTTATGTAGCTGGGCGGACAAGTCTGCAGTCAGCTGACAGCTGGTTTATGTAGCTGGGCGGATGGGTCTGCAGTCAGCTGACAGCTGGTTTATGTAGCTGGGCGGATGGGTCTGCAGTCAGCTGACAGCTGGCTTATGTAGCTGGGCGGATGGGTCTGCAGTCAGCTGACAGCTGGCTTATGTAGCTGGGCGGATGGGTCTGCAGTCAGCTGACAGCTGGCTTATGTAGCTGGGCGGATGGGTCTGCAGTCAGCTGACAGCTGGTTTATGTAGCTGGGCGGATGGGTCTGCAGTCAGCTGACAGCTGGTTTATGTAGCTGGGCGGACAAGTCTGCAGTCAGCTGGCGGCTGCATTTAAGAAGTGCAGTGGCCGGTGATCAGATGGCGCTCGGCCATCCCCGAACACGCTCTGACCTGCTGGTGGTGACCTGGTGTGTGACCGGCCCTGCTCCTCCCGCTCGCAGACGGTCTCCATCCGGCCAAGGCCAACAGCCTGGCCCGCTCCAACGCCAGCATCTACGGCGCGCCCCGACAAGACGAGCTCTACGACCGCCTGCGCAAGCACGCCTACACCGGCAAAAAGGGTAAGGTGAAACCGTTTGCAGCGCTCTCAGGGACCGACGGGGTGCCTCCACCCGCTGAGTGGTCAGGTGAAATCGGACGCTCCGCGTGCAGGTGGTGTGAGTCGGCGTGCATCACCTTTGTGGTTGTGAAATGGTTTTTGAACGAGCCCTCGATTTGTTATGGCTGGTTTCTCACGAGAGCTTTTTCTGTTTCAGATAAGAACGACACAACCGACGATAGCGACGACCAGGCTCGTTAGAGACATCTAGCGGTAGTTTAACAAACTTTAGCGACTGGTACCGACACCAGGCGGACGCGAACCGGAGCTTTGCGGCCGAAACCCCGCGGCGACCGGGGCTCTGCCGAGGGGCATTTGGTTACACCCTGCCGGTGTGTATAGAGGAGTCCCACGCGCCGGACAAAGCCGGCCCGAACTGGCCCGAACTGGCCTGAATCGGCCCAAACCGGCCTGGAAGTGTGACCCACCTTGTGGAGATGAGGTGTGCCGTCCCGGCCCGCCATCGTATACTCGACTCTGCGGCGGCGCTGTGTCGCCGCGCCAGCCAGCCAGCGCCGCCGCCGGCTCAGGCGGGCTCCCGACCGCGGTCGCCTGACCTCGTGACCCCGTGCGCGGCAACCGCGGCGCCAGCGATTGTGCATTCCTGTCGGGGATGACGACACTCAGCGAACTCGAGGCGCGTGGCAGCACGCCAGCCAGGCGCGCCGCGGCCTGCTCATGTACCATTCTAACTAAGTTATTGTCTGCGCGCCGGCGTTGGGTCGGTGCGAGCGTGCGGCGTGAGGTGCGAGACGTGAGGCGTGAGGTGCGAGGCGTGAGGTGTGAGGTTTCGGGCGTGAGAGATGGCGTGACCCTGGCGGCGCGTGAGGCGTGATGGCGGCGGACCGCGGCTTGGCAACATCAGCTGACGGCTGCGAACTTTGCTACGCTGGGCGGTGCCGCGGTCGCCCACAGGTGGCAGCACCGTCGGAGGCCGTGCCGACTTGGTGTGAAGCGCGTGTGTGTTTGTGTTGTCTCCGGATCCAGCGTGTGTCAGTGACTGTGGCGCCCTCTGTGTGGACGTCCGCCGCCCGTAAATCCATGTGCGACCTGCGGGTGGAACGCGAACAAAGCGAGGTTGTTAACGCCGTGTGAATGTGCGGAGTTTGCGAATACACGGGTGGCGCCGAACGGAGCGGCTGTCAGGCTCGGTGAGACGGCAGAGGGCGGACAGTCACCGCCTCGGAGCCCCGGGGCGGGCGGATCGCCATACTGGGCCGCTTCGCCGCCAGAGGGGGGGGGGGGGGGTCGGGCCACCGCCTCGGAGCCCCGGGGCGGGCGGATCGCCATGCTGGGCTGCTTCGCCGCCAGAGGGGGTCGGGCCACCGCCTCGGAGCCTCGGGGCGGGCGGATCGCCATACTGGGCTGCTTCGCCGCCAGAGGGGGTCGGGCCACGTACGCGACCGCTGGGGCGGCCACCTGCCGTTTGGGCGACACCGTGCGGGTACGGAACCTGATGGAAAAAACAGTGCCGGAGGAGAGGGGAAGGGGGCTGGAGGTAATGCGACAAGTCACGGGCTGTCCTTCCACCATCGCATTGCCCGTGGCCACCTTGCCGGGAACAATAGTCCAATAACGATGCGCTTGAATATATTGGGGCCCCTTTGCGAGACAATAGATGACGAAGTTGTTTCTCGGTGCAGAGGAGTTATTGCTTCCACTCGCCGCATGCTCAGCGCAGTAGTTTCAGCGGCGTGAAGCTCAGTTCTGTATAAGCTAGACTGTTAGGCTGTCAGACATTTGCAAGCGAGTGGCTGAGCGGACAAGGTTTTCGCGCAAAATTACAATGTTGCTTTGATTTTGACTTCACCATGGATTAGCATGAGCGGAGCAGCATCGTCAAATCGCGAAAACACTGAAGGCTGCTGGAAACAGGGTGCAGGTCTCGAAAGCTATAGCAACAAAGAAAACGGAAAATGGCACAGACAAGAGTGTGACTCATATGTGAAGACGATCACGTACTCTCGTGTGCAAACCCTGAATCAACCAGGGTTGGAGTATTTTTAGCGGCTGCTGGCCAGCCTCTGCAACCCTCGCCTATCAAAACCGATACCATCTGCACCTTGTTGGCGCGTATATCGGTTTCGAAAGCTAACGCGCATTACATGGTCACCTTTCTCAAAACGAACCCCGAGCATAGGAGGGTTTGGTCTCAGCCGAAGCCTACTAGGTAATGAAAACTGTATGGGCATGTAGCTCTGAGTTTTGTGGCTATGAAGATGAACATTTTATGCAATACTCTGGTCACTATTGTAGAATCCGTATATCATCACAGATTCATCGATGCGTCTGGTAACATTGCCGAATGTCGCCAGATTCCAGAGCAGCCAGCCATTCCAGCCGTTCCAGCGGTCTTCCAGAGCAGGCATTTGTGGGTTGGTGCGTGAGTTCTGCATTCTGGCAAGTCCGCCAGGTACACTGTCATGAACTGTAAGTGTCTGAACGCTTCAATGAAGGCTGCGGGTACTCTGGTGCGGTCTGGTCTGGTGCCTGGTGCGGTAAGTTGGTGACGCACCTCCCGTGGCGGGATGGTTGCGGCCAGCAGCTGCCTGGTTAAAGCGGCGAATGAACGGCCTGACGATCGGGTGGGATGACCCAGTGTCGGATGATGCGTTACGCGCGTATATTCAGGAAGTCGCAACGCGGGTGAGGGCAGCTGACCCTACTCGTGGCCCGTGGCGAATGGTCGGCCGGGAGCTCGTGGTGTGGACTGACGCGAGCGCTATCGCGAACGGGGTAGTCCTGGAGGATACGGAGAGCGGCACTCTCGAGGATGCCGCGTGGCTCCGGCCGGAGTCCAAGGCGGCGGACCACGACCACGTCAACATGGCCGAGTTGGACGCGGCGATGAGTGGCGTGAACATGGCTCTGGCATGGGCTCATGCGACAGTTGGTCGACGAGTTCCAGCTCTCTGTGACCGTCCAGCTGGTGCGGTCACAAGACAATCCTGCCGACGCGCTCACCCGAGTTCCCCAGACCTGGCTGCGAACAGAGCCTCGAGGTGCGACTTCAGCCGCACCAGCCGCTGCTCCAAAATGTTGCACGGCACCCCCGCGAGATGCGACCTCGGTCTCCGCGACTATCGGGCCGGAAGCAATCGCGGCGCCCCCGGCAGAACAAGAAGCCGCTCACGAGCCCACGACAAGCGACGTTTGTGCCCGGATTAAAAGCATACACGAACGGGAGGGGCACCAGGGGATCTGCCGGTCCCTGTGGTACGCCAGACGGGATCGCGGCGGACACGTCGCACGGGCCGACGTGCGAGCCGTCGTCAGCCAGTGCGACGTGTGCCGTTCGATTGACCCGGCGCCGACTCGCTGACGGTCCGGCTCACTCGGCATCCCGACATCACGGTGCGCGGTCGGATTTGCCCGAGCTGGTAGTGTGAAAAATGGACCACAGATGACGTTAGCTGCTCTGTTCTTCAGCGAACCGTGCTCGAAATTTGCTCATGAGGAGAAATGTTTTTGGTGGCGCGCAGAAACACGGCCCACAGATTAGGAGGCTGATATCACAAGAAGTCGAAACGCGCCTCAAAGTCGTTGAAAGGCTCTTAAGGAATTATGGTAGTCGGTATGGTACGTTGCACGTTTTGAGCAGTACCTTGAGCAGCTGCAAGAGGCTTCTTAAGCTTTTGTGCCGGCGAGGGCTGGACATTTTTGTACGATGCAGATTGCTTAAAATCCTATGATGAGGGCGTTTGACCTCTAACCCCCAACCCAATTACTGGAATGTTAGGGACTTTTTAACAAATTCTGCGTTGTCTAATGCAAAAGCTTGTGGCCTAAGTAATTGTAACTAGCTCCTTATAAGCAATAACATCAATGTATACTCAGGAGTTTGGTCAGCATTTTCATGCTGAATTGTTGTTGGGGTTGTGGTTATGGTGAGCCCAGACATGCACAAGACCGTTTAAACACAGGCGCATTTCGTTGCCCCTATCCAGTTCGTCAAATGTCTGTTGTTTCCTAGTCGCTACCGTACCAGGGTCATGATGCTACTCTCACCATTCTGTGATGGGGTAGCACCATGATATGATTTGCGATGGCTCCGCCGTTGCAGAACCGGCAAAACTGCCACGAGTATCGGGCGGAGTCTCACTAAAACACCTAGAAAAGAAATTCGCTAGAACGCACTAGAATGTCAGACTCTCCAGGGTGCAGCACCCAGTGTCTGCCGCGAACACACCGACCACTCTGTCTGCCCGCACCCAGTGTCTGCCGCGAACACACCGACCACTCTGTCTGCCCGCACCCAGTGTCTGCCGCGAACACACCGACCACTCTGTCTGGCCGCACCCAGTGTCTGCCGCGAACACACCGACCGCGCTGTCTGGCCGCACCCAGTGTCCGCCGCGAACACACCGACCACTCTGTCTGCCCGCACCCAGTGTCTGCCGCGAACACACCGACCACTCTGTCTGCCCGCACCAGTGTCTGCCGCGAACACACCGACCACTCTGTCTGCCGCACCCAGTGTCTGCCGCGAACACACCGACCACTCTGTCTGCCCGCACCCAGTGTCTGCCGCGAACACACCGACCACTCTGTCTGGCCGCACCCAGTGTCTGCCGCGAACACACCGACCACTCTGTCTGGCCGCACCCAGTGTCTGCCGCGAACACACCGATTACTCTGTCCAGCCGGACCTAGTGTCGTGCCGAGAACACACTGATCACTCTGTCCAGCAACACCCAGTGTCTGCCGCGAACACACCGACCACTCTGTCCAGCAGCATCCAGTGTCTGCCGCGAACACACCGACCACTCTGTCCAGCAGCACCCAATGTCTGCCGCGAACACACCGACCACTCTGTCCAGCCGGACCTAGTGTCGTGCCGAGAACACACTGACCACTCTGTCCAGCAGCATCCAGTGTCTGCCGCGAACACATCGACCACTCTGTCCAGCAGCATCCAGTGTCTGCCGCGAACACACCGACCACTCTGTCCAGCAGCACCCAATGTCTGCCGCGAACACACCGACCACTCTGTCCAGCCGGACCTAGTGTCGTGCCGAGAACACACTGACCACTCTGTCCAGCAGCATCCAGTGTCTGTTGCGAACACACCGACCACTCTGTCCAGCAGCACTCAATGTCTGCTGCGGAAACACCGACAACTCTGTCAAGCCACCCCAACGGCACCAATACGCAATGTTTTGTTTTTGTGTATTCTGCGTTTGGTGTTACAGGTTTCACAAGATGGATCATGCGGCTGAGTTAGTTCGACCGGCGCAATACATATCTATGACGATGCATCCTATAGTTTATACTATTGCGCACGTGTGATGGGGTAAGCGGCCAGACAGCCAGGCATTCTGGCGGCAGGCTTATTCTGGACTAACATCGGGCTAACTTACTTCTGACAACAGAAGTAAGCAGGATCCTTGCGCACTCCTCTTTATGCCCATCAAATTTCCAAATTATTCAGAAAGCCTCACACTCAGTAAGCGGTACCTCCTTGGAAAGCAGCGTCATCAGGATAAGCCGCACCACCCGGGTGAGCATCACCCTGATAGGCAGCACCGCCCGGGTGAGCATTACCCTGATAGGCAGCACCGCCCGGGTGAGCATCGCCCTGATAGGCAGCACCACCCGGGTGAGCATCGCCCTGATAGGCAGCACCACCCGGGTGAGCATCACCCTGATAAGCAGCACCACCCGGGTGAGCGTCGCCCTGATAGGCAGCACCACCCGGGTGAGCATCACCCTGATAGGCAGCACCACCCGGGTGAGCATCGCCCTGATAGGCAGCACTACCCGGGTGAGCAGCACCCTGATAGGCAGCACCACCCGGGTGAGCAGCACCCTGATAGGCAGCACCACCCGGGTGAGCAGCACCCTGATAAGCACCGCCGCCCGGGTGAGCAGCATCAATGCAGGTGACCACGGCAGCCACGATGGGTAGAAGCTTGAGCGTCTTCATTGTGATGACTGAAAAAAGCATGACGTCAGGAGGAAATGACGTTCCCATTGCACGACATGTTTTACCCAGTAGAACATCAATCAGTCTGATCAAGAGCACGCAGAACGTGATACAGGACACGATGAATGCATACAGCGGGACACAGGACACGATAAACGCCGCTGGGCGCTCGGTATTTGCTCATAGCCAGGGCTGGTCCCCTGGTT